AAACTGATTGCTAGAACATCAAAATGTTTTATAGCAATGCTTTATCATTTTTGACTTTCTAACAAGAATTATTTTCAGATCTGTATCCAGCAAAATTTTTAGATCTTCCAGTAAAATCGTTCTTTCCGTGCAGGTTCCCAATACGATACCTGGAATGTGATGACGAAGATGAGAAATAGTGACATGTAAACGATTCTAAACATGGTCATACGTTCGCCCGTAATGCCGCAGATGAACAGCATGATTGCTACGATAGCAATCCAGAATCTTGTCATAAAATCTTGCAACAGTTTCCCGACATTTTTCATAAATTTACTCTTGATTTCTGTCACCTCGTGATTCATGGCGGTTGTAGCCGTCGAGACAGATACGTGTAATGGCGCTACCATGTCCCTCAGAGCAGAAGATCGTCGCTGTTGCTTTCGTTCTGCCATATATTGCCTCATAGTAATCCAGAACATCGATATAAATAGGCACTGTACATGAATAAATTGGGTTAAATATTATATTGAGATATATAATACAGCTTGTGAAATTAATTCATTTTTTAACAAATTTAAATTTTCCTATTTGCAAGAGCTGATATTAATGCGTACCTTAACTATGAGGTGCCAGCGGTACTCGGTTTTACTAAAGCCAATTTCAGAAATCTTTACGTCGCTTATTTCTATCGGCAATTCTTCATCGTTTAGCTCCATACTGTATACATATTGTCCGAGAAGTAAGAGAGTCGCGTAGAACACGATGAAGGGAGAGCACTTCATCATGGAAGCACGTTTATTGGGAACCATCCATAGAATTAGCGCCCATAGAAGCAGAACGAATGTTGTCCAGCTGTGATACATTATACTCCACGTCTAAAAGATAAATTTAAAAAATAATCGATTTGTTGAATTGTAATCTTTATTTTACGATACTTACCATCATTATTATATTTGTAGCAAGATATGATGAATTTGCTATTAATTGGAAGATAGCGTATACTGCCATAATTATTTGCTCAACGATGCCCTGCGTTTCATCAGACGTTCCTAATTTATAAAAATTATATATCATTTATAAATTATGATTTATAAAGATCATGAATTAACCGCTTTATTCAGTTATAATGATCGCATAACAACGCGTAACATCGTACGTCTTAAGATTTACTACACTATTACCTTCACTGAGACTCTGCATTTGTATGTTGTCGTCCTGCTGACCATCTTGATTAACAATGATACTTCCAGTAGCGGAATCTTGAAGAAGCCCTGCTCTTCCAGATCCAAATCGCATCAGCTGTACAATAAATCGAAAGAAATTTTACTTATTTTCAACGAGAATTTTATAATACTATTTCATTCTATAAATTCTTTATTATCGTGTCTCTCACATTATACTATAAATCAATGTTCTCCTAGTTTCCTACGACGATAGCAAGCTTCATGCAAAATATGTGAAACATGCGTTTTACCTTCACCAGTTTATTAATATTAGTTAAAATTTCTTTTAATAATAGTGATTGCGCATGTGAAAATTATATGCAAAGTTAATTGCAACTGCACGCCAGATCATGGTAGTCATTTACTCGAATAGAATCTTGAACCGTTTAAAGATTTATTTGTGTCACATGCAGAAGAGAGTGTGGAGTAGAATAAATAATTAGTTAAACATGCATATTCAATTGGTATACGTACAGGCGTTCGCTCGTCGATCGTTGCTAACGGCGAATCTACGACCGGCTTCTAAAACAATGGCAAACTAAACATAGCAGCATCCAAACGAAAAACGGTTTTGTTCAGCGTTAAACAATAACTGCACATCTGGAAGGCGACAGCAAATAAGAACATAGAAAGTATTTAAAAATAGGCAAAACAACTTTTTACAGAAGATTAATTCTCGAAAACAATTTGTTAGGCGGAGATTACTGATAAATAAAGCTACATGATTAGCTAATAGCTACTACAATCAACACTAATTATAAAATTGTTGGTCGCATATTTTACATAGTTTAGAGAAAATACTCAAAAATAAAGTTTACTACTAAATCTAATTAATAGAAATAAATTGAGGAGAAATAACTACAAACAAGACTACAATAAATAATTACATAAATATATTAAAATATTAAAAGAAATAAAAGATTTAATTGTAAACGTTACTGGAAATTGAGAAACTAGAAAGTTTAGTGAAAATTTCGATGAATAAAATTTTTAATAGTAATTTAAAATTTTTACTTAAAATGTTAATATATAACAAATGTACAATTATATTGTACGATATAAATGCAACACAGTATAAAAAATACATCATATATTCTCTCTGAAAATACATAAATAATATATATTTAAAAATTTAATAGCTTAAAAAGTTTTTAGAAATTAGTAAAGCTTTTACTGAAATGTGCCTAATTATGAATGTGCATAATAATAATAAAATGAGCTTCGAATAAGAAATTTTATATAAACTTTTGGCGCCCAATGCAATACATATCAGCAAAACAAGAATCTGAAATAAAATACAGCTGAGGACAAAGGCGAAGTTGCGTAAACAAATATGTGGAAATATTAATTGTACTATATCGAATCGGCTCTCATATGGAACGAGTCCTTACGCGAGCCTTACGTCGAGCTGATTGCCATCTTTGGGAAGGTGTCCTGCGCCTGATAGACACGTGCCTGGACAATGGAGTGTCTAGATTTTCCAGCCTGCCGCTTAATCGTTTTGCTTCTTTCGCCTGTAACGCCTTGTTAGTACAAGCAAGATATTTTCAACAATACTTTCCACGAATTAAAAATCAAGAATCGCCGAAATTTATATAAAATTTGTAATTAAGAAACTCACAAAATTTCTTAGATATGTGGAAGAAACCATAAAGATTTTTTTCATAACTAAATAATGTTTTACTTTTTTTCATTTACAACAATGTTATTTTAGAACATGAAATAAAAGGAAATATATTTATAATAAATTGTCGCCAATATAAAATGAGATGCGATTATAAAGATGTGATCTATGCAATTTTAAAAAGAAAGTATGACTTTCTTAACAGTTAGCAATTCTATTTTTGCGATTTATTTAATAAGCTTAATCTTGTGTCAATAATTTTAGATACGTTAGAGTTAGTTGAGAGGTCTTGTTAGGCTATCAGCTGTTATTTGCAGCGATGATGTTAATTACTCTTTATCCACAAATGGGTTAATTATGCTCTACGCAACAGGCAGATAGCATATATAGCTCAGGATAAAGGCCTTCAAGTTTTAAAAAAAGCTTTGGTCCGGGAAAGTGCCATCCAATATGCTATTTCTAGTATTTGTATATCGTATAGACTACATACAGAGACATCGAATCCCATTGCTATTCTATTGTACCTTAATTTTATTAATGATAACACCAAATTTTTAATTTAGGTAATACGATAGAGTGCCCTGCTCTACAAAAATTACTTATATTTAATTATCTTTCTTTCGATAAGAAAATAACATAATTGCATTAATAATACAGCAATTAAAATAATTCTGATGCAATTATAAAAGTTTAGAATTAAAAATTCTAGATAATGAAATATAAAAAGTACTAAACTCTAATGTTGCCTAGCAATATCCTTATATATTCTATTCTAATTTCCTTAATGATTAATTATGTAATTGTAATACCAAAATTTTTAGAATATTATTATTCACATTAAATAAAAAATATGTAAACTCACCGGTTTCCTACTGAGAAATTGCGACTGCAACGCAAGGATGTAGTAGAGCCAGAACAATCTCAAAGCGTATCCGTAAATCAACCAATCGGCATCATCTGTATACTCCACGTTTCGCGGATCGCTGCAATTGGTGTGATAAACTGCAGCCAGGGCCAGGTAACGTGACCAAGTACCATTTACCGGCAGAATCTCCTGTGGCCATTCGTTCTGGTAAGCGAGCAACGTAACGATGTGCACGATCACGATGACCATGATGATCCTGCAGATCACGGAAAATCCCTTCCGCAGTTCTTTGTTGCATGCCCAGCACGTAGCGGCGCCGAGGAACACCAGGAAGTAGAAAGACGCCTCTATCGATGGCTTCAATGCCGCGACACAGCATAATGATGCTAATACAACGTAGGTACCGATATTTCCCAAGAAATTGATTATCTGAATATCGTGAACGTACGTAGGCGTGAGTTATTTTTGATAAGATATCAATTTTTTGCGCAAAATACAACTCGGATATATACAATAGTTTAGAGTCGATTTGTAAATCGATTTAGATTAAATAATTTAAACATAAAGGGTATTTTGTGCATGCATATATTTATATAAATTATTGCATTTACGTTTTTTTACTGAACATATGACAATAATACAACAATGTAATTACCTTCGCGGTACTGTCTTCCGTTTTCTGTCGCTGAGAATCATTTTCCTGCTGACGAGCAGCTTCATTCTGTTCATCGTTAACATCTCTTTGCGTAAGGAAACGGCATATAAAATATACGGCAAGAACGGTGGGTAAGACTAACAATTCCGGCGTGAGCCAGTAAAAAACTTCCCATACTGATGCGCTATCTAATTTGACAAAGCCTATGTGTCTGAAGAGCTTCTCCAAAAACACGCCTGAAAATATATTATTTGCTTGTATTCAGAGCTAAAATTATTTCTTATTAAAAATTCTAGGATTTTTTTAAATATTCTTTTAAATTTCATTTTGTATAACACTTAATGTTATCCGAATATATATTATATATGTAACGATATGGTATTTATGAAAATAATAATTGCTAACATTTTTGTTAAGTTTTAAAGATAACATAATATTAAGTCAGAGTGTTGCTTACAGTTTTGTAGAAAATAACCATAGGGCGGTAGTGACAAAAGAACAATGTGAAAGGTGATCTGAGCTATGACTACAAGAAAGGCTAGGCAAATGCAAGTCTTTAGGTATATTCCGGTGTGGCCTGTCATGGTTTTGTGCGTCGGTATTGGGACCATTGGAGAATAAAGCATCAGTCCCAGGTAAACGATCGACAATCCCACTGGTCGCCATATCGTACCTGTAAAATTAAAATCCATTTTTATGTTTGTATAGTATATCAGTTGTTTTAGTAATTTAATATATCAATCTTAGTTAACAGAGTTCTGGCTCTCCGATAAAGAAATATATAAATTTTTATAAAAACTTTTTTGAAAAATATGTTAAATATGAAAAATATTAGAATTCGATAGATATCAAGTGTCAATTATGTTTTCATAATAAGAAAATTGATAATAACATTTTAACTTGAATTAGAGTACTGCTGGATATATATATCTGTACTTATAGAGTTTTTGTTAGAAATTAGGCTACTTCAATTACTTATTTAATTTATCAAGTGGTTCACTCCACTTTCATTTTAAGGGCTTTGTCGAGAAGACCTTCCCTTGATAAAACATATAATAGCACATGAAACGCATAAAGTTGCGGTGTTATAGTTATTTCTACGTTTGTGAAAAGGTCATTTATAACTAGATGCTTCTAAGAAATGACATTTCAACCGCTCTAGTTGTTCCGCCAAGACCTTTACTTTTTATTATATATTGCTCTACTTATTCTATAATCATAATATTCTAATGATATTTTGATTTGAGAGATTACGTGCCATATAAATACTTTAATATTTCGCTTCTTGTACATATATTTAATTTGTTACATAATATACATGTACATATCTCGTACATATACTTTACTTGGTATGTAATATATTGGTATACGATAAAAAGTATCAAGAAAGATTCCTAAATATGAATTTGACGAAAAGATATTATGCTATTAATGAACACCCGGTATATAGCTTAAGACATACGCATATGTGCTGATAATTAATGCGAATCATAGGAATTTAGTCTGTCGACGATAATTACTTTCGCGTCACGGAACGTTACAAATGTTTCATGAACCCAACGTTATTTATCTGATTCGAATACATTGTAACATGCTAGAATTTACATTATTTGAACTTTTTAAATGTTCGTAGGAATACTATCATTTCCAGTCGTCGCCTCGCAGCGGCTTAGTCATCCTATTCATGGCACGGTGTTATATTTGCACGACACACATAAATAACTACATTGTGTCGCTGCCAAGTGAAGTTCATCACAAAGGTGCACGATTTCGCTAATTATTTCAACAATTGTGTTTTCTCAAATAAATATTTTTCTACAGATACTAATGTAATACTCGCGCTTTAGTTTTCTATCTTTCTGCAATAATGTTTAATTTATAACCGTTTTACGGGTCTCTAATATTATCACGTTTTTGAATTATTTCCACTCATTCGATTTAAATATTAATACATTATTGCTTTAGTTTGAAATCAATAATAAATGTAAGGAATCATACGGGCTACATTATCGATTGATTCTCTATCTTACTCTATCTTATGGCAACGATATTAACGGGTAATTTTGTCATCGAAATAAATTGCCGAAGCGATAAAACAATAATTACTCACGTTAACAATTGACGATTCACATGCGCAATAATAATCGTAGCAAAAACGTTAAATTCATGTTATATATCTATTATAAATTTTTTTTCTGAACAAGGCCAAAAGTTCAAGCCTAACCTGGAGGATTCCACATCACGAAACTGACGTCGGAAATAGAGAGATCGCACGCATGAAATTTTTATTAATGTTCTTTAATCATTTCCATGGAATACAAAGTCATGCAGAGTAATTAATTATCAGAATTGCGAGAATACAATATTTTAACTTCTTTACATTATGTATGATTTAATTCGTAGTATTAAACACGTTGATCAACATATAATAAACAAATAAATATAATAATTTTTATTACTTTAATAATATTGTTAAATGTTATAGTATAAAAAATAAAATTTAGCTAAATCTATAAAAAACTAAAAATATATAAAAATTATAATACATTATTTTTATATAATATTTTACAGCAATAATAAATTAAAGTATTATTTTAAGTTTAATTTTTACATTATTATTTATTGGTTACATTCTTATTCAGAGAATAATTACAAATTTTCGAAATGTTGCAATAATTTAACATGATTGTGTTTATATCATACAAAAAATTCATTTCAACAAGCTCAGTTGTAGTATAAATATCCTATTTTTGATAATAGAACTCTTAGAACTCATTTTGTACTTTTGTATAGTTTGATATGTCGAATGTTTGTTTAGACAAAGTCAGCAAATCTTGCCCTCGTCTGATACGGATATGCGAGTTCAAGCGCCTACTTCCTAATTTTAGAATATTCTTCGAGTCGCTTAGGCATGTATTCACGTATAACACACGTATATCTTACGGAAATACTTTTCTATTCTATTTATTTTTTATGTTTTAACATATTTTCTATTGCAAAAGCATATTTGTTTAATAATTATTATTAATAATTATTATTTAACAATTATCACAATTACAGAAATACAAGTATATAAATTGATACTAATTAAATTATTTCAAATATTAAGATAAATGTGTACATGTATATTTAAAGTACTACATGTATTATCAAATTTAAATATTGCAATGTAAATTTTTCGAAAAATCCATTTTTATAAAATTATTTAGTATAAATATTTAAAAAGTTAAAATATTGTGAATAATTAATAAGAGTTATAATTAATTCGATGTTTTGGCTAAATAAACATTTAAACTATACAAAAATATAAAGAGAAAT